CAGTACCTGCATCATTAGCATGGTTTTTCATCCCATATCATCTTGAAAACCAAAGCCAAACTTTGATATGTTCCTAAGCAGTGTGACAGAAACATGCAGTCATGCTCTAATTAAGCTCATGGGAAAGTTCTTGAAGCAGCTAAGTTTTCATCTAGTCAAGTATAAAAAACATCTTTAGATAAAAATAAAAGTTTAAATAGGTGCACATTCATACCACTCCTTTCTCTTCATAGACCATAAAAATCAAATTTTCATATTTTAAAAATATATTTAAAGTAGTATATCCTTGTACCATGACTGCCTGGGATAATAGCTTGTCTACTGTTCTTGCTTTTCTTCTGCAGATAAATTATGGGTTTTTTAGGTACACATGTAAGTATATATAAGTAAAAGAAACGAATTATCACTGAGCTGGATTTCATTCATCTCCCCAAATTCCTACACAAGCACACTCTTAACCTACAAGGAAAGAAGAGAGTGTTGTGGGCTCTTCCTTTTTTCCAATCAGTACACACTGCCAATTAATTTATTCTCAGCTGCAGTTCCCAAGACATTCTCTTGTCTGTTTGGTACCACTGCCTAATGCAAGCACAGCAGTGTCTGAAGAATAAAGACTTGAGGTACTGCTGCAACAATCCACACCTCTGAAGTTCTATTGAAATATAAGGACAGCCAGGGTTTTTTTTGGTACAACATTGGTATTCTGCAATAGAAACATAAAGTAAATGCAGGTTCACCTGTTGCAACATTACTCCAATTAAACATCAGAATTTTACAATTCCTTGCTTCTTCAAAAATATGAAGCAAAGTAATAGAAAATTCTTACACTAAGCTGAAAAAGGATCTACTACATCCATAACTGGAAAGTTTTGGAACTCTTTCAGCAACAGAAGTTTCACAGGAGACTGTTTTCATCAACAGGATAAATAAAAGATGAGTTAGCAGGTGAAGAAGGTAGAAATATTTATTACTAGCATTCAATGAAAATAACACTAGAATGCCTGTAAAAGCCTAGCTGGAGAAAAAAACAAAACAAACATTGAAAAAATTAACTAGGAGTCCAGAAAAGGAAATTAAGATAGCTGAGTACACCTACTTTTATGTCAGGGGATCTGAAAACCACACAAACTGAAGTCAAAATGAAATTGAAACCCCTTTTCCTTTTTTGTAACATAGTTGTAAAAGGGGAGTAATTTCACACTGGTTTTGTGTTGTTTATAGAGAATTCTATGCTCTCTTCTGCATAATGGCACCAGAGAAACTTTCAGACTATTGATTAGTGCAATCTGCTCTATTGTAGCTAGAGATTTCAAAGACACAGGACTTCCCACAAACAAATGCATAATTAAAAAAAAAAGTAACTACCTTTTTCAGCAGTGTTAGGCACTTTTTTGAAAAAGGATCAGGGTCATAAGGGAATTTACTCTCTACCATTATCATAGTTCAAACAATACATCAATTATCTCTTATTCATAAACACAGCTCTGCAAATCAGAGAAATGTCCTATGTACATGCCTTAGGAATCCACAGGGGATACCACAGCAAAGAAAACCATGGGCAAACAGGAAGTTTCTTTCTGAGTGGTAACGTCAGATTTAGGGATGGATGTGTAGCTTTTATTGGGTTTACATATGTTTGTAATTTTTTTTTTATAACTTCCACCACTAAAAAACCTGAATACTGATTTCTCAAGCTCTCATCTTACTCAAGAATCCTGGCTGACAACAAGATCGAACAAAGGTATCGCTGCAAACACCTCGGCTGAACAGAAGATCTCCATCTCCTCATAACAGCAAGCTTCTCTAAGGGTATTTCAATGAAACTTCCAGACTAGAAGTTGGTCCAAACGCAAACTACGTCATAGCAGAGCCGTGGGGCACCTGTGGCCACCTGCAATGCAGCTCCTGAGCTGCACGACAGGAGGAGCTAGACACTTGGGTAGTGGTTGAGTAATATTTCCTCATTAGGAAGCTTCTTGTGTAGTTCAAGACTCGTCAAGAAACTCAGGTAAGTGCCTCTTGGCTTCATTTTCACGTTCCTGTACCAAGCAATGCCAGGACAAGGGGATTGTTTTCCACAAAGCTTAACAACTTAGGGTACTTGGGCCATTAAAACTTGGTTTTGGCAAAATAATTAACTTTTGCTCAGATTACCCAGCTAATAAACTGGAAGTACTAATAAAATCAGATTAAATTTTTCAGATGTGTTTAAATGAGCGGTGGGGTTTTTCTCCATTTTTCATGAGTACCTGAAATTATGCTACAAAAACATACCAATAGTGAAATGAGAGACAAGTCATAACACGGCTCACCTTTTGCAAAACTCGGGTGACATCTCCTGGCCAATCTCGGTTCTGCAAGTACGAAATATTTATTCAGTAACGCATTGAAATCTAAACACTTCTTGATAAGAAAACCACCACAGAACTGTGGAACTTGAAGTAGTGATGTAAGAGCCACGTCAAAGCAATGAAAAACATTTCAGAGAGCGTGGAGAAAAAAAAACAACAACATGAAAAGAGCATGTCAAAGGCTCCACCTGCAACAAATTTCAGGGACAGTGCAGTTACATCCACAATTTGCATAACAAAATTTAATCAAACCTCTGAATAGTTTAATATTATCCTTTTCCACAGTAGGATAATTATAGTATTGCATGTTAAACTAAGAAAAATTAACATGAAATCAGATATACTGCCTTTCTTACTGTCAACTGCATTCCCCAAAGCAATCATTATCAATTTGCAGTTTTAACAACTACAAACATACCCAGGAGTAACACTTAAATGACATAGAGCCACAATGACTCTTTGAAAAGATGACTTAGATTTGGTGAAAAGAAGAAAACAGCTTACTTTTCTTTTATGACTCTACAAAAGCTGGTTTTCTACATCACTTTTGCAGTTGCAAATTTACATAAAAAGTTTACTATATTTTCTTCATTTAAAATGTATTGCTTCATATCTGCTGTAATGATTTAGCCCCTTTGTTATTCTAGCTACACTATTAAGTAATGTCTCTATTCAGAAGTAGTCTAGAAATGCATTGTTTCACTTCTTTGTGTCTAAATTCCAAGCAATGAAGCATGTAACTAATTACACAGAAGAATTTGTAAGAGCAAATGGAAACAGCCCACATAGAGCCAAAAGTTTGAGAATGCTGCTGAGCTCTCCCCTTCTCACTCTGTTGCCTGGTAGGTAGATGAGACCCCTCCTGAGGCTGACGCAGGTCCTGACCTTTACTGTTTGCCTCTTTCTGGCAGGTGAAGTCTCAGCCTCCCTTGTACTAGCACCTCAGGATGGGGTACATGCAACAAGAATGTCAGCAACTTCTGTAACATCTTGTAACATACCTGAGGTCTTCCCTGTCTCCAAGAACTGTCAGATTTCTCAAGGCAATCCTACTTTGTCAGTATCAAGGGGAACAGACCTGCTCATTTTATTAGAAAAACAGGGCTACCTGCCTCCAGGTCAAATGGCTGGATGTATTCCAGTATGTACTAGATGAAAAAAAAGTAACAATAGATTGGTTTTTCAGAACAGAAGTTTCTTAAGGATGCATTCAGTGATTGCAATTGTAGCACTGAATTACAGGTCAATCCTGAATACTCAGAAGCAGGAATATTTTTTAAATGGTTTTAGTTGCCTTCTAATAAATCTCCAAAACACATTTAAATGCCTGGAAAAGCACTGAGAACTTTTACTCTGGAAGGAAAAAGCACACAAAATGCCCCAAGACCACAACTGCTACTAGTTTATGCCCCAAGATCTCATCTACTTAAGATCTTGGGAAAACTTTAAGTACTTTTTAAACTGCTAAATGACAGAAGGATAACACTTTTAAGTGAAATCAGAGGAAAAATAGGATTTCTGTCTACTCTACTGCACCCACACAAGTTCTTACTCAGCAGCAACAACAGTAAATGGTCCTATATTCCCACTGTGCACATTTTTGCAGGCTGTAGATAAACAAGTCACTAGAGTCACCATATGTGACTAGCTTGGATTGGCACTCTGGAAAGCACAGTATAAAAGAAAATAATAGTAAAATACACAAAGGCATATGTTCAGAGATTAAAACATACTCATTAAAGAAAATAACCTGTGAGGAAAACCTGATGTCCAAAGGCAGGAATAAACATTAAACATATTTTGATGAAATCTCAGCACTGCTGTTTCTCTCTTCTAAGTTAGACCTGAAGAGAAAGGTCCTCTTTTGCTTTCTTACATTTAGATGGCTTTTTATATTTCTGGATCTGTCAAACTTCATTTAAATTACAGTAGAAGGATTTGATGCACAACACTTCACATATAAATTCTTATTAAAAGGGTATATTCCTTAAGCTAGTTCAACACTTAAAACATTTAATTCTAACACTGTTTATTCCTAAACAGGGAAATGTGAAGCCCCTCGTGTGTTTGAGCTGTAAGTTGTCACAAAAGTCCAGACAGGGAAGACAATATGTATTCACACTTCAAAATAACTGTAGAAGAAAATATTATTTTGCTCCCTAGCTTAAAAAAAAAATAATAAAAATCAATACCTGACACTCCCTGAGCTCTTTGAACAGCCTCCTTTAATATTGTCTTCACATATACAAGGCATTTCATTAAAGTATTTGACACAGTTACAGCAAATAAAGGCTTGGTGATTTATTCAATTACAGTGCTTCAATAGGATTCTACTCATTTTCCACAAGAGTGGAGCATTTCTTATACTCCATACAGAAACAGGTATTATTCATCTCACTAATAAATTGTATCAGTCTCATTGAAATTTGTCTCATTTGTTCATTTGAAAAGTTTTACCAGTGTTTCCCATGGATTCAGAACTGGGTCAGCAATCTTTAGTTCAGTTACATTTCAGTAAAATTTCATCAAATATTTTTCTTCAGTGTTTACAGACCTGGAAACTCAAGAAACTTTCACCAAACTTGCTTCTATAAAGTTATTTTCAAGACTAGTAACATACACACTTAGAATCTTCCAGACTGCAACACTGGTAACAGCTTGACTATTAGAGAAAATCAGTAATGGTTTCAGTATCAAAGTGGTATAGAGGCAGGAGTGCAAGTCTCTATTAATTGTTTCTGTAATAATTTTCAATTGTTTCTGAATTAAAATACACCACAGTAACAGTGATATCATCTCTGTACATTCTTGCAAGGTCTTCAGGCAGTGTCAGCATTGCAGCAAGTTTCTCCTGGTCCATCTCCCCATAGTCATTACTCCCAATTGCATGCCTTATTAAATGAGTAGCTATGTTTTGGTCAAGTGAAGCCACACCTCTGTTCTTCCTCTGAAGTAACAAGCTGTGCATATAACCCAAATTAACTGGTTTCTCAAAAGCCAGTTGTGGTTTCTGCACATTAAGCTCCATAAGGTGTCCAGCAACAAGTTTTACAACCATCTCATTACTTAGCAGCTCCCATAGTCCATCCGAAGCAATAACGAGAAACTTATCCTTGCTTCTTAATTTGTGGTATGTGACTTCAGGCTCTGCAGTTAAATAAGGGGGTGTATGGTAGTTTGGAGGAACATACTGAAAAATATTTAAAGCCTCAACATCACAGCTATTGTCAAGAACACTGTGTTGCAGTTCTTTACTCCATTTTAATTGCACATCTCCAAAAGCTCTGGAGGGCACGAGAATCCCCAGCAATCTGTCATTCACAAACAGGGTTTTCTCCTCAGATCTAGGGTGTTCTCTCTTCAGTCTTCTAATTTCAAATTCATCAAAGGCATTGTGGTCCCGGGTTAGCGGGAGAGTAGACCATGTTCCATCTTCTTCATGAACCCCTAAAATAGCTCTGCAATCACCAGTATTTGCAACATGTAAATGAACACCGTCAACGTGAGCTACACAGGCTGTTGCACCAGAAAAAGCTACTTGAAGGGCAATATTTCTCATCAATTCATTTTCCTGGGGAGCCTGCACTTCCAGCGATATGTCCGAGTCTAACCTCTTGAATGCACATACCAAGGCCTCTTCTAAACCAAGTCCTGGCTCAGTGTCTAGGTCCAGTAAATGTTGCCAGTAAACCCGGAGGTTCTCAAAATACTGTGAAGTTACTTCTTGATACTCAACATCACTTGGATGCTTGTGCGACTGCAGAATAGGCAGAGCTGGCTTCATGCACTCAACAGCAAGCTCGATCTCCTCCAAGGTTTGCCGAGACATGAGAGAAACTGCGATGTAATGCAGGAGCCTCTCGCTCACCGCCTGGGCACACGCGGAGCCCGCGTGCCCGTCGAAGACCCCAAACATCATCCCTTTTGTCTGCAGGCAAGTGGCTGCGCTTCTGCGGTCTTCGATAGGGGTGTTGGATGCCAGCTGGTTGCTTTCAAACCTCAACACAGAATTTGCATTTTTACCATTCAGATCCAGTGTTTTATGGGATAATTCGCCTGCTCTCAGTATATCATTGATCTGTGATGGAGACAACTGGAAAGAGAAATGTTCTTCTTCGGTGGATGTGTGTCTGAATGCTTTTGGTAAAGAGAAAGTATTGCCTAAGATGCAGCTCCCAGCAGGGGAGAGATGTGTTTTGGAGAAAACAAGCTTCCATTTTACCTTGTTTCTATTTGGGATACAGATAGAGTACAGACGTCCTTTTCCTTGTAAAACAATGCTGTTTCTTGCTGAGCTTAAGATCCAGGATGACACAGTTCTTGACATCATATGTCACTCTACAAGCAACAGCACGTTCCTTCAGTAATACAGAATGTCCTTACAGCCTGGAATATAAGAATAGGAGAGGTACAAATTTTAGATTGTTCACAAGAAGCTTTCTAAAATACAAAAGTAACTCTGGACCCCACAGAAATATTCAGAACGTTTTTCCAAAAAAGACTGCTATAGACAGAGAATCACAGAACCATTTGGGTTGGAAGGGATCTTACAAGTGCTACATATTCCATTACTTAATTTTAAGCTTGGTGAATTTAGCTTCAGATATGAATGTCCCTCTCCAGTTAATTAATGAAAAAAGCTAATTTTTATTTTCCAGACTAAGAAATTCCAACATTACAAAAAATGTAAACTGTTCAGTGAAAGGCTTCATCTAATGTGACACAGAACAAACAGATCCAATGAGTTAGATAACAAATTTAAGTGACAATTAATGCAGAACTTTTTTAAAGCCTGTTACAGTACAACTCTATTAATACACTCTAAATATCAAACCCAAGAGAAGATCAGTACTCAAACCCCACAGAAAAACTGAAAGGTGTGGCAAATAAATGATTTATATGAATTGGCATGACCCTCACTTCTATAACAAGCTAGTGTACTTTTCCAATTCTGTTTCAGCTTAACAACACAACTTTTTTTTTTTACCTTCAGGATCTTAAGCAGCCTTCATGCAAGTAGGATTGTTTGCACAGCTGAAGGCAGATTCCACCACTGGTTAATGAATGCATTTATCACAGCACGTGCATGCTCATGCAGTGAAAGTCACAGCAAAGTTACACTGACAACTTTTACAGGTTACATTTTGACTTGTTATTTCAGACTGCAATCAGAACAAGCAGATGTAAAGAGTTCTGCTCCCAACAGCACTAAAACCTAGGACACCTGAACAGCTGAAGTTCTTCAGTTGCCATGGGGGAAGTACCTCATAATGTCTCCTAGTTTAAATAAGGTATTCAAGCTGTGGGAAACTGCTAAGTACAACCACCTGCTAACACCACAACAGAACTCTCCCCGTGGATTTCAAAGCTAACTGTATTGTAGCACTGCAAGTACAATTACTCCCAAAAGATGATGTTAGTATGACATGAGACCTAGAGCACAAAGTGCTACAGCCCACCTGAAAGTGGTTCAGAGCTTAAATAAAACTATAATGTTTTAACATGGTCTCAGGCAATATTGCTTTAGCCAGGCACTGAATGAGAAATAGTAAGATGCCAGCACAGCCAGTTGCATGAAATTGGTTCTAAGAAATCACCAGGACCTAAAACCAAACTTGAAACCAGAAAAGAGTAGGCAAGCCCCCACCAAGAAGAACCATAATTCTGGGGTCCCTTTGAGAACAAGTGGAGACACAGCAACATTTTACTGCTTATGTCAGGAGGGCAGATGGAAAAGGCAATGCCAGTTCATTGCTGGAGGCTTGCCTGCAGTCTCCTGGGACACTGGCATCTCCCAACACAACCAACAACTTTTGTCATACTGCAGAGAAAACACAACCAAAATAAAGCTAACTGGAAGAAAGCTGACACTGCTAACTCTACCTCCAGTCAAAAGCACCAACAGTGCAAGACAAATCTCTAGTTTTTCAATCTTTTCCCATCCTGTTTTTGATTCTTTCTCTTCCCATTCTTCCAAGGCACGTGAGGTTGAAATATAGACAATGTTCACGTTCTTGACTCAAAACCCCAACAGAAAGTTAAATGAACTCACCCTGTTCAGATCATCTGGCTGACAGATGTAGCAACGTGGAGGGTTTTTTCCTAGCAGCAGAATTGCCTAATACCCTGTGCACACGTGTTTGCCTAAGGTCAAGTAGCACCGATCAGAGCTGGAGCACAGTTCTGAACCACTGCTGCTCACTGCCTGTAACTGCAGTGCTGGCATCCTTAGCTTCCTACACTCACAGTGTGCAGTCCCCACTTCTGCCCGGGACACCCATCCATTAGCCACTCCAGCACAAGCCACGGGCAGCAGGGGTAACAAAAGCCACGTGCAAAAGCCCATGATGCAAGAGCCAACGACACCAGCCCTGCCTGGCGCACCTACCGCTCCGGCACTTCCTCCTCGGGAGCACCAGCGCAGTCACTGAAACCCGCGCTGCCCGGGCAGGGCACGCCCTGGGGGCTCACAGGGGAGGAATGACCACTTCTTTTCCAATCAATTAACACGTATTCGTCACATTCAGTTTTACAGCTCCCCCAGGCCTCGCCACATCCAGCCCCCCAGCGCCCACGTTCCCCTCACGCACACTCTGGACACTCGCCCCGCACCCTCTAAACCCCCAACCCCTACCCCGCACGGTCCACGCACAACAACCCCACCC